ACCAGTACAGTATCATTCAGTATCTACCAGTACAGTATCATACAGTATCTACAAGTACAGTATCATACAGTATCTATCAGTACAGTATCTATCAGTACAGTATCATATAGTATCTATCAGTACAGTATCTACCAGTACAGTATCATTCAATATCTATCATTCAGTATCTCCAGTACAGTATACGGTATCTACCAGTAAATTATCATACAGTATCTACAAGTACAGTATCATACAGTATCTATCAGTACAGTATTATACAGTATCTATCAGTACAGTATATACCAGTACAGTATCATCAGTATCTACCAATACAGTATCATATAGTATCTACCAGTACAGTATCATACAGTATGTACAAGTACAGTATCATACAGTATCTATCAGTACAGTATCACACAGTATCTACTAGTAAAGTATCATCAGTACAGTATGATACAGTACCTTCCAGTACAGTATCATACAGTATCTAGTACAATATCATACATTATCTACCAATACAGTATCCAATACAATATCATGCTGTACTTAGTATAGTACCATACAGTATTTACCAATACAAAATATATCAGTACAACCTCCAATTGAAGCCCTGGCCTTTTTTTTATTTTATTTTGCGAACTTTGGATGGGCTTCTTTTCGAGGCTACATTTGCAAAAAAAAAAAGAAAAAAAAAAAGAGGGGGCTTCTTTTCAAAATGAATACGGTAAACTTTGGGAATTACTACCATAAAGCAATAAATAGGGCCCTGTAACATCAATCTATATATGATGGAGTGTATTAACCGGAATTAAATCAACTAAACTATTGTATAGACCAAAGCGTGTTTTTAATATTTTTTGTTTCTTTGATATTCATGTACAGTGTATGTACTGTACTATCTCGAAACATAAAAGCCCATGCTATCTTGATAAGAAGCCCATGGGATTCTTTTCGAGGCTACTTTTGCAAACTGAAAAGAGGGCTTTAATTTGAGAGGGGCTTCTTCTCGAGATTAAGCCCATTGGGGTTTTATTCGAGGTTTTACGGTATCATACAAATCATATACAGTACCAGTTCAGTATCATATATCAGTACAGTATCAGTATATTCCAGTACGGTACAGTATCAGTATCATACAGTATGCATACATATCATTATTATTAATGTTTCATGACATGTTATAATTTGTATCATTCAACAAAGGGTTGAAGATTAGTGCTTCGAAATTCTTTATATTCTTATTGAATATGTTGGTGACGACAATGACAGGCTGTGCTTTGGTGTTTTGTGTTGGCTCGGGTGTTGAGATATTTGGTATTGCCGTGCTTATTGTCGCAATGTGTCTTATATCTATGGCGGTAAGTATATTAAGACTCTAACTCACAAAGTCACATTCATATTCACATGATTACAACAGAAATTTTACAGTATGCATGGAACAATAAATGAAAATATGAAAATGAGATGTAAGGAATTACATTGGAAGCATAGCTTTTAACATGTAACCCTTCTAAATAAAAAGGATAAATAAATCTTCAAAAACAAAAATAATAATCAAGGCCTAAAACACTAGAGGTAAAATTGTCCCACGCCGGGCACCATCTCGGTATTTCTGAGTCAAGGGTTTCGGGGTCCGAATGTTTAGATATATTCCCTAATGCGGAATAAACTTATGACGATGACGATGAGAAGGAGGAGGAGGATGATACAGTGGAGGATTAATGATGAAAGATGATGAAGATGGTGGTAGTGATGATGATGGCTAAGATGAGGATAATAATAACAATAATAATAATAATAATAATTAACAATGATAATAATAAGGCCTAATAATGATAATGATATAATAATGATGATGATAATAATAGTAATATGTTTAGCATAATCATCATGTGAGAAATATATTTGTTTACCTCCTAAATACAAAATTATAATTTGTTATAATCGCATATTAATCGTTGTGTCATACATAGGCCTAGGCCTACATAAAAACAAACATCTTATTTTTTTCCTTCTGTTGTTTTCAAGATCTTCGCTGGACTTTTCGTCAATATATCGTCACTGCCATCTTGGCTACAGTGGTTGCAGTACCTGAGTTTATTTCGATATAGTCTTAACGTAAGTTGAAATTATGAAGTATGTATGTCTACTATTATTGTACAGTTTCCTTTTATAATTACCGTCAAAAACCTATTACCATCATCGATGGTTCGCTGTACGCCAATTTTCCAAGAGAGTAAACGAAGTTGCTTTTTGTGTACTGTGCATGAATGAATGAATCTTGGGGGAAGAGGGCTGATATAGGGCGCAAAGGTAAAGTTGGGGTGCTCGATGACCAAGTGAGGGGGCGCCAGCTTGCCACTAATTTTTAAAATTTCAATGCATCAATATTGTGTTAAATGCGCTACTCATATATTTATTTTTAAAATTTTGTACCCCCCCCCCCGGTTGAATCATTCTGGATCCAACTGTATGAGCATTTTCAATGGGGGAGGAACGACTGGGGGAGAGCTGTTTTAGGGTGTGCTCCCCCCTCCCCTTGATTACATTTATTTTTCACATAAACTTTGATAGTGTGTACAGGTTATAATAGTTTTGCAGTTATTGTTCAGGTTATCAAATGTTCATTTCATAAATCTTCTTTTCTGCAGACGTTGACAATAAATGAGTTGACAGGGCTCATATTTTGTGATTCTGTTTCTAACAGCTCTTCACCAGAAAACTGGTAAGATATTACATTTTGCCGGTATCACATTAAGTTATTTTCCTCCTGCCAGATTGGCCTTTATTTGTATGTGTTGTAGGAGTAATATTAATTGCTTTCTAGTTATGATTTTTAATTTGTAATGGTGCCGTCAGGAGAGCCACTTGATAGCAATTCTTGGTGGCACCATCATGTTTTGTTTTATGTTTTTTCCAGAATTAATAAAAATTTTAATTTCATTGAATTGAATCATTCAGTTGTGAGAAATGTATCCAAGTATTAATATGATATTCATAACATAAACAAAATAGGCCCTCTATTGTATTTATGGTACCGTATTTATTCTAGTTTATTCAGTTAAATAATATGACCATCTTTCAGTATGACAGGCGAACAATACATGGACAAGCAAGGCATTGACTACAGCACTTGGGGTCTATGGCAGAATCAGATGGCTCTTGGTATCATGGCTCTCAGCCTGATGACGTTAGCGTACATTCAACTACGTATAGTTCCAAGATACAAATAACCAATGGTGTAACTACAGAAAATTATGTTTCGGATTTGTATTATATATGTAATTCATTACTAACACTGGCTCCTAAAATAGCTATAGGCCTACAGTACATCTATGGCATATCATGTATGTTCTTTCAAATAAGCGCTTTTTAATATAGTCAGATGTATGTAATTTAAATGAACAAACACGAAAGATATTGACCACTCAAAAAGAAAAAAATAGAAGGCAATGGTGGCGACATAAAGTGGGAAAACGAAGTTCCTGGCCGGTGGTGGAAGGGTGTTCCCGACGGGAAAGTATATTGTCGGGACCACGCCGGCCGACTTATATACGCCGGTAGACTTATAATATATCGTGCGTTTTTGACGAACGTGAAGTCACAGCTTATTGATTTATAACTTTATTTATTCTCCAATTTGCAAAATTGACAGCATTATATAAATAAACAAAACATATAAACACACAGTATAACATTTATAAAGGACTTGTTCGATCATGTATAAGAGTTAAAATTACAATAAGATAGTTTTTCAAAAGTTCGAGAAGGGAAAACAAGATGTATAAAATTTATGAATAAAAAAAAAATAGCTAAAGAAACATGAATGCGAATTACTTAAAAGGAATTACAAGAATTAGTTAAAATGTATAAAAAAAGAATAAAAACTGTAAAAAAAGTATTAAACTTTGTTAAAATAGCGTAAAAAATAAAAATGTGAATAGCAAAAGGAATTCCGAATTCACAACCAGCACAAATTGTTCATACTGAAAATTACTGTTGTGCTGCCAGTGTAGGCCTACATGTTATGTTTCTTGCGTTTATGTAAACAAAAACCCACGTCTAAATTGATATGTTGGGAACCACGCTTTAATTATCTCACGTTCGTGTCACGAAATATTGAGATCTAAAATAAGATAATTAATAAGTCATAATAATTTAAACATCACATAAAAAATTTATGTAATTACAAGAGAATGGTAATTCATAAGGCTTTTCAAACATTGATGTTTGGTTAAGAAATATGGATTTGAATGATGCCACGTAAACCGTGGTTAATTGGAAGGTATTTCTTAAAACAAAAGACAGAAACAATAGATTGATGCTCCTAAGAGTTATTGATTCAATTTAATCTATTATATACATATATATATGGATATATCGTTGAAGTAATCATAACAATAGGAACTTAGTAATATTGATAAATATCTAGTATATATATCTAGTATATTATATATACATACATATATATATATACATATATATGTATATATATACATATAATATATATATATATATATCTAGTATATATATATTATATACATATTATATATACATACATATATATATATACATATATATGTATATATATACATATAATATATATATATATATATATATATATACATATATATATATACATATATACACACACACACACACACACACACATATATATATATATATATATATATATATATATATATATATATATATATATATATATATATATCCTG